GGCAAGGGTCTGGAGGCTACCCATCTAGAAGCCCAGATGTTGGTGTGGCTTAATTAGGGGCACTAATGCTCTCTCCTCTCAAGCAGCTGTGCTGATCATCTTTGCTTAGCGCTTTGTAGCTGCTGGCAAGTTCTTGAGGTAGGTGTCCTGCTAGAATCCGGCCCCTTATTACCTGAGTTGGGTCTCACCTGCCCAGACTCAACGTCTCTTAATCAGGTGCCTGATTCCTGCTGGCTCTTTGGACCAGACTATAACATCTTCAAAAACGGCCCTGTGTAGAGAGTAGTCCAATCAAGTGGTGATCATGGCATGAATGCATGAATGAATGCCAGAACTTCCCAGTCTACAGTAGATAGTAATAAGAATATTATAATTAAATTATTACATTGTAACCTGCACTGTATGTAGACCTGTGAATCATTGCCAGTGTACACTGAAGTATCCTTTAGACAGCACTACAGGTAGCCATGGGGCCAACTACATAGACCCCTGTTGTTTCTCTGGCCCTATAGGGAGCAACAGGCTGCTTTCTGGGCTGAAAGTCAGGATATAAATCAAATGAATAATTATTCAGCACGCATGTGCATATGTGCAAATAGATATAGATATTCATATACATATACATGAAATGCAGTTATGGATTTAATGTGTTAACTTGTTTACCCCAAAGGCATATCTGCACTTACTGCTGAAGTTGTTGAGCTTGACACTAAGCCACCCTAAGAAAATGCTGTCCAGACTCAGACACTTTAGCAACAGCTTGCAAAGTTTAGTGGAGACCACTGGACAATTCCCTGGCTGCTCTGCCCTCCCACTTTTTTTCTTCCAGAAAAGGAATAACTAATCTCTCTCTCTCTCTCTCTTGACAAGTCGCTGCAGTTTTCTTAGCAAGATTTCAGAAGTGGTTTGCCCTTGCGTCCTTCCTAGGGCTGAGAGAGAGGGACTGGTCCAAAGTCACCCAGCCAGCTTTGTGCCTAAGGTGGGACTAGAACTCACAGCCTCCCAGTTTCTGGCTTGGTGCCTTCACCACTGCACCAAACTGGCTCTCACCTACAGTATCTATATACACAGAGTTAAAGCATCAACACGCACCTACATGCAGGTACAACAAGCTATCTGATCTGTTTCTTTCTAATGTCTTTTGAACCCACCTTTACTATGAATGCTGTAGTAGCACAATGGCTATAACTTTTGCCTTGTAAGTAGAAGGCTGCAGTTCAAAACATGGCAGAAAATTTTTAAATTCCTTGTTTTTCTTTCTACAACCTTCCTATTTAAAAACAAACAAACCTCCAGTGATGCACAGTTTACCATTTTCCAGTTTCCTAAGATTGAAGGGTTTCATCCCTAGCCTCCAAATAACCCATTGATCTGGTTGTTTTGCTCTGTTTTTTCTTTTTCCTTTGTTTTGTTAAAAAACTTTATATACATATAAGTGGGTTGTGGTACAAGAGAATTTGGGAACCTCTGGGCTCCCCGGTCTGAGCTGTAAACATCTGGAGGTCAGCGAAGTGATACGAAAAACTCATATTTGTCTGGATTTTTACAGCACAGTCTGATAGCTGATATTTTATAACGACAAAACAGACATACTATTATATCTTTTGCTTCTGCAAATAGAGCCGCAAAAACATATTGTGCTGAAGAGGTTGTATTACAACAGAATAAATACTAGATATTTTAAGGATCTGTCTAGCATAAATGTTCTAAGGCTACCAGATGTCCAAAAAAAAAAGCCAATCAATGACTTAATGTTAGTGTCTGTAATAGGGATGATTGAGATGGAGAGCAGTGACCTCCTGTGGTAAGGCTAGCTAGAACAGCAGTTCTTTATATTAATTGATTGTTCCCCAAAGGGGAAGTAGTGTAAATATAAAACCTCATCATCTACAGAACAATCTAAAACAGTACTGAAACTCTCTTATCTTCAGTATAGGCTAGAAAATAAATGTCACTTTTGACAAGTATTTTCCACTTATACACCGACTTCTGTAAATCAGATACTAAGGATTGTATGTACATGCTTCAAAAATAATTTAAGAGAAGTGTTTGGGACTTTTTGAGAATGCAGCATTTCTGTGCAATTCATTAAAGCAGCCAGACTTTTCTAGGCTTCCAAGTGAGCTGGGGGGGGGGAAATGGTGCTGTTGCTTTAAGAATTCCATTCACCCAAGTCAATGCAACTCTGATATCCACTCCCCTTAAATCAGGCACTGGCTAAAGCTTTCTCCTCCACCCTACCCAAATTTGCTTGAATGAATAGCAGAGAGGAGCTGTGCTTACGAAAGATCTAAAGCCTTCTGTCCAATTATTTTCAAAACATACAGAGTCCTATCATGAATCAAAATACTGAAGGACGTAGGCCACTAGTGGTCAAAATTGTAGGACTGTATAGGGTCAACAAGATGCAACTATTTAAAACAAACAAACAATGGCAATAGTTTTGAAAGAAAGGGATCATCATGACTGAGTTTCATCCTGTACAAATAAGATTGGCAGGGAGCGAGATACCTCAACGTAAGATGGGAAATTACGAAATCTGTGCAGGAAGGGGATTTGTAATATCTATGATTACTCTTATGCAAACAAATGGGGTGGGACTGACTCTGACTTTTGAAAAAACAAGTCCATTCTTAGAAGGAATAAAAGATAGGAAATAGACATATCAAATGAGAAATCAAAGGCTAGTGTGAGTTTAATGGCCACTATTGAAGAGTACCCCCATATCGCCATCTTTACTTCCTGGATTGATTTCTTGGTTATATCCAAGAAATATTAACCAAGTTTCTTGGTTATACCCTGATTTTCTTCCAGGAATTCAAAGTGGCTCAACTAAGTAAGTTTATGTTAACCAGTGCACCTGTTAGGATTCTCGGCAGCTGCTGACCAGCTAAATAGAAATGTAAGCAGCTTTTGCTAGGGCTAGGGATGAGAAAACATCCGAAGGACATCACATTTAAAAACGGTTAGCAGGGCATCTCTGTGCCACAGTGAGAGGGATGTGAGGATGAGCCCTAAGGCAACTATGAACCTCTCTGGAGCAAGAGATCATTTTATTAGTGGTACATCAATCCTTACCCCCTCTCTTCAGATTTCCCTCAGTTATCACACATCATTTATCACATGCTTTTTATTTGTGAGTCCTCTAGATCAGACAGTCACCCACTGGGGATACTGTATCTCAGTAATATTTATTATTAAGCAAGGGCTGGATTAGATGATCTATGAGACCCTTTCTAACTCAATGCTTCTCGCTTCTTTCTTCTTTTTAAACACCCAGCTGGGTTTGTTGCAATGAAACCCATTAATGGCCAAGACATTTATGGCGGCACCAAAAGCCTAGTTCCAGGAAGGAACTAGGCAATGAACAAATGCAAAACTTTGTGGTCTAATTATTTAAGTGTGTGTGTGTGTGCGCACACGTGTGTGCATATCAGCCCTCAACATAAATATTCTCAGGGTACCAGACCCATTGAAAACAATACAACTCATCCATAAGAATAAAAAGAACAGCAAGAGGCAGCAGATTTTAAAGACAATATTTCAAATAAGGAAAAGCTCAACATTTTTGCAAGGGCTTAAAAGAAATAAAACAATAAATTAAAAAGTAGGTAAATATGGAAACACCAAGGATAGTCCATGAGAAGAAATCACCCAGGATCCCTGGGGAAAGACAAAAATCTAATCTATTCTGGTGCTTTCTTGGCCTTCTTGAAATGGGGCTTAGGGGTCAGCAATGGAGCTGTACCCAAACCCTAGAAGGACGGGCTTGCCACATTTCATTCTAGCATCTCAATATTTAACCAGCTTCATGCAGCAACACAACAGAGATTTTTAATAACAAGTGATGTAGCTTAAGACTGAAACTTCTATTGTAAAACAAATACCTTGATGTATGCTCTTCCTTCATTTTTTAATTTCATTTTATATCCATTATACTTAATTTTGAAGAAAAAGCAAAAAAATTATAATGCTTATAACATTCAATCAATCAAATCTTATTATTATTATTATTACCAGCACAGCTTATAACTAATATCCAAAACTGTAATTCATATTGATAGAATATCTACTTTTTTCCTTTTATCTACATTTAATACTCTAAGGCACCTAAATAATAGAACATTAAGAATCTGATTATATAAATACCATTGTATCGAAAAACATATTGTACCAAAACTGAGAAGATGGAGCAATAGATGGCCTATATGGCTAGATTTAATAATATGTTAAAGGATTGTGCTAGTTCTAGATTAACATTTTATGGATATATTTTTAGTTCCTACAAATGTCACTCATTTATTCATTATTCTATATATTTTTTCTGATTTTATTAGCACTGCTGTATTTTTGGTTGTACTTTATCGTATCCTCTGGTTCTTATACTAACCAATAAAATAAAAATATTCCACAAGCTTTCTACATTACAAATGGATTGTTTAAAAGAGCGAATCGAGGCAAGCCAGCAAGCGTGTCCCTGTGGGTCTGATGCAGTCAAAGCAGCTAGCAATTCTTACTTTGCTCTGAAGTAACAGAGGTTACTGAAGGATGAATAAGCTAATTTTGCTGTTTCTGTAAAACCTTCCAGGCCGCCCAGAGGATGAGGACGTGTCCCACTCACACAGCCAGGTGTTACACGCAACATGCAACAGCAGGTGAGGCCCAAGATGAAGACCGCAGTGGGCTTTTAGCTTTTTATAGCGACCTTATAAGATCCATGAATTTCTTTACACGTGGCCTCAACGGAGCTGTTGCGTCTTTTGTTTCCCATTCGCCAGGTGCTAGGTTTTGACCTGAATAAAAATTTTGTTTGCTAACTTTTTTCAGGCCTGACACATACAGGAACAACTTTCCACCTTATATTCTCTGTGAGGGAAGCTTGCTTTACCCCGAACTCAGCAGAGGAAGCAAACGAGCCTCAAACCAATGGTGAGGCAGAGCCCAGCCTAGTGATCACGAACACGTCCTGACTTCCTTCCTTAAAGCGAAAAAAGATTAAACCACAAATAAAGCTGATGCTGAAAACAGAAGTTGCACAGCGAGACGCAGCCATGGCAGAAGGCAAGACAGGAGGTGCCGGCCTGTTCGCTAAGCGGGTGCAAAAACAGCTCAGCCGAGCCCAAGAGAAGGTACTTATGTTGAAATGTTCTTTCAGCTTACTGGTTTTATGACAACCTGGAAATGATATGTATACAGCCGTTGTCTTTTTAGGTCTCCAAAAGCGTCTCACCAAAATGAGAGGTTATGTAAAGTTGAAAGGGAAGTGGGGTGGTTGTTCATTTCTCCTTTCTGGATGTTTTTCATACTGTTCTGAATGCTTCATATTATACTGGATCTATACACAAGCTGGTATATATCCTGTAGTAGACTCCAATTTTATCCCAACAACAATCTTGTAAGGTAGGCTGGGCTGAGAAGCCGTCACTGGCTCAAAAACATTCAGTAGAAGTCCAGGGCTGACTGAGAACCTGAAACTGGATTTCTCCCGTCCTAATCCAGGATCCTAATCATTGCAACCTATTTGCTCTCCATGATCATCAGGTACCCCCGAGTCACCTCGAGCCTTTTGCCCTCTTACTTTGAATAATATCCCAATTATAGAACGGATTTTTCTCCAACTGTTCAATATATTTGAAACAAAGAATCTAAACCACATCTGTCGCTGGTGGGTTGAGGGGTGGATAATTTTAATAAACTAATTAATCAGAGTAGGATTAGCACAACTAAGCTAAAGAGTTAAACTAGTCAAATTGCTATTCTCCATTCCAGGGATTCAGCAAATGTCATTCTACAAAGCAAGATAAAATGTTCTGATCTCTTCCTGGAAATTCTTGGTTCAAGGCAGGCTAAGTGTTCACATGAACAGGCCTTGCCCTGCCAGACCTTCTAGGATGGTGAGAATCTTTGAAAAAAGAAAAGAAAAACACGTACCATAAGCATTGCTACCTTGCAGTTGATGATTCAGACCTATCCGCATATAAAGTCAGTTTGCCCGCAGTTCAACATGTAAGCACATTTTGAAAACGATCTCATCTTGTCAGAAAGTAGAGGCACGGTCCTGTCCGTGTTACATTGTTGGGCGGAGTTTGTGGGAAATGTTTAGAAATATATCAATATGCATATATTTCTGTGACACGGGTAGCATGTCTGTGCTCTCCTGTGTCTTAAATCTTAAAGTTGCTACTACTTGCAAAAGAACTGCCACGGTGCTTGATTTCCCACCACATCCATAGTGTAAAAACCATAATAACACCCTCCACCTTCACACGGCCCAGCCTAAATTGCCTTGCCCCTCCGGAACTGTAAAGAACAAGAACCCTGATCATCTGATGGTACAATTACTGGGAAGGGGTTATATGTAGTCAAACAGAATTGAACAAAAATGACTAAATGCTGATGAGGAAGAAGCTCATAACGTACTAACCTAGATATTTTCACCACGTTTCCCTATGGCAGAACCTGGTCATCTGAGATCATAAAGTCTACTTCCCCACCCCCATTTAGAAGCATAAACTCATAGAATTGGTAGTGACCTACAGGTCATGTAGTCCAATCCTCTGCTCAGTGCAGGATCATCTGACAGATGATCATTCACCCATGGTTTGAAGACCTCTAGCGAAGGAGAGAACTCACCGCCTTATGTAGCAGCTATAGTCAGGAGGTTTCTCCTGATGTCTATCTAGCCTGGACCTTTTTCTTTTGCAGTTTGCACTTATCGGTTCTGATCATGCTTTCTGGAGTAATAGAACGTAAGTCCATTGTGTGATCAACCTTCAGTTTGACAGCTCCATTCTCCATTCTCTGATTCCTTACCTAAATTCCCTTTCTGCCACTAGTTTGCTTCCAGACTTGCAATGCTATCGTGTCTTTCATTTGAAATTTCTTGACAGCTTCATTCTTGAGGATGTACACACACACCCCCAGGAATTTTAGGCAAATTCCAGTAGATAACATCTCTGCCTGTGTCCACTCCTACTACCACCACCACAGCAGGGTATATCCTTGTCTAGCCAAAAAAAGCATCATCCATGCACAGGATGGGATGGATCATCAGGATTTTTTGGGAGGAGGGGATCCCAAGCTTCACAGAAAACAGAACCACCCAAAAAGAAGTGATTATTCTCGGAGTCAGTGAGCTTTGGCTGACGGGGGCAGGAAGGAGACGCAGAAAGGAAAACTGAGGAATGGTGTGACACTTTCAACTGGCTGGCTGACACCCTGAGGAGAAATACTTCTTTCTGCAGTATTTGGTCAGGAGTCTCACTTGTACAATGCTTTAAGGTAAAGGAACATATTATGAAACTTTCCGGAAACTCAGCATTAAAGGCCTGAGAGACCCTAAGGTTACCCAATTTCGGCTGCAAACATTGACCCACCCACTAGATGGCAGCCAAGAGGTACACAAAACCCTCACTCTTGGCTGCCATCTACAGCAAAGGTTTACAGCAGTGTTGTCCAAACTTTGCCGCCCT